TGTGTGTGTGTGTGTCGGCCTACAGAATTCTGTGCTGCCTCTTGATTTTTTAGACCGGATACTCCTGGAGCCAGTGTGCCAGATCGTGGTCTTCTTCCTGACACAGTAAGCATAGAGGATCTATTTTGGTAGATCCTGTTTTGATAGACTCCCAGCATGGGGTCATGGTGACTGATAGAATAGACCCAGCTTTAGTTTGGCGAAAAGGTTAAGTGTATGGTCGTTGCGGGTTCCTACCTCCGCCTTTTCTTTGCCTCATCATATACCTCCTTTGTTCCCCCATGTTTTGTGGGTTTGGATGACATTTTTTTTAAAAATCGTAGCACGCACGCTGCTGTTGGGGTGCATTGGTCCCGGGTCGGTCGTCATTGCCTCTTTCGTTGTTTTGTCAGTCAAGAGTTCGCTTCCTGGAATGTTTTTTTAGGTCCAGGTTCCATTGGATGGTCCATTGAAAGCGAAGATTTCGGAGACAATGCCTGTATATATCGAAGGGACAGTGCCAAGCAGGGCCGGCGACTGACTGTCTGAGATCCTCTTTTGTCACCCAGGCTGCTCACCGAATGTCATTTTTCCATCTGTCAGAAGAGACTATAGGCAAGCATCCATTGTAACGCGCTCCATCGTTTCGTTTAGTAAAATGTTCTCAGGGGCTCCGTTGAGTTACAATTTAATTATTTTTTTAAAATAAAAAACAACAAAAACAAAAACAACAACAACAAAACCCAACTTCAATACTTAAACGTCACCAGACCAGTCTGTTGGCAGTCACTTCCAACATGTTTCAGCACGTAACGTGTTGGTTATGGCTGTGCTGACAGTGACGGCCTCTTGTGCTTCATGACAGGCCTCGATCTTCACTCTTCGGCTCTCACCTCTCATTCTCAATCGAGTCTGTTACAGCGCTCTTGTAGATGGCTTCAAGTAGACCTACTGCAAGTGTTTTCAAGGACTTAAATTCTCTTCATCATTATCATTGCCTTTTTCACCCTGGATCCGGATATAGGCCACGAATAAACACTTTCCACCTTTCCCTATCCTGGGCTTATATATAGTCGCTTAGTGTCACTCAATGTCTTCCCACTTTTCTGTACATCCATTTCCACGACTCTTCTCCAGGTTCCACGTGGTCTTCCCCTTGATCTTTCACCCTGTGGGTTCCAATCTAACACTTTCCTTGTTATGCAGCTGCTTGACTTCCTTAACGTGTGTCCAATCCATGGACAACGCTTTCTTCCCATCTCATTTCTGACTGGGCTCTGTCTCGTTATTCTTAATAGTTCCTTGTTAAACCCTGTCCGCCCATCTGATCCTCAGTAGCTTCCTCAGGCAGTTGATCAGGAAAACCTGAGATGCGTTCCATGTCTCAAATCCATACAAGAAGACTGACTTTACATTAGAGTTGAAAATCCTCAGCTTTGTTCGTAGTGAGATAGCTCTATCCCTGGTCCTCCAAATCCTGTTCAAAGAAATAAATTAATGCAGTCTGTGCCTTTCCAATGCGGGACTTTATTTCAGCGCGTGTTCCTCCCTCTTTGTCAATTATACTCCCAATATAACAGAAGGACTCGGTGTCTTCTAGTGCATTTCCCTCTACTGTGACCTGTTCCTTTCTTAGCAAGTTAGTGCATCTATCCTTAGGACTTTTGACTTACCGGGGTGGATCTCAATCCAACAGACTCTGATAGGCTGTTTAAAACTGTGGTCTTTGCTTGCATCTGTTCCCGAGTGTGTGACAGAAGCGCCAAATCATCAGCAAAGCCGAGATCGTCCAACTTTGTCCATGGGGTCCACTATGCCGTTTATGTGTCCTTTAGTGGTTTTCTTCATCAGCCAGTCGATAATTGCGCGTGGCTGTATTGTTCCAACGTGAGGGTTGGCGGCAGGGATATGGCATTAGGACGAAGTTGAACTCTATCACTTAAGCTGCGAATTATGTCGCCTTAATCCGAGCGTGAATATAATAGTAGCCTATGATCTGTTCCACTTCCTCGAAGAGAAGGCTTTCCAGTTTACCGTGGCTGGCGTAGCGTGAGACTTGAGTATTTAAATTGAAGACACAACTGTGGCTCATCTCGTTAAGTCTGAACGGATAGGGGTTTGGTTGGAGCTTTCGAAGGGGCACGTGTGGGAAAGATGAAGAGGGATAAAAAGTTATCGTCGATAGATTGTCATGTATGTTGACTAATTAATTGGGGTTGATGTTATTGTTCTAATACCGGGTACCCATATATTGGCATCATTGGTTCGGTTCGGTTTTGTTGAGGTCGGGTTGGGGAGAGCAAGGATTATCCTTCACGAGAACGGCAAAACCGATGAAACCGACAAAACCGATTATTGGCGATTATGACCTTCAACTTCAATAACAAACACGGTTTCATTTCAGTTTATAATCTTTGTTTTCAAGGCCGTGGATTGGGCGATCGCGGAGGGGG